GTTAAGAGAAAGCTGTAAGCACTGTGTCTCCATAGGAGAGAAGAAGTACTGCTTCATGGAGAGGTTTAGGGGAATCAACTTGTCACTTCTTTCTTGCATTTTGTTGTTGTTGTTGTTGTTGTTGTTGTTTTGAAACAGGGTTTTGCTCTGTCGCCCAGGCTGGAATGCAGTGGGGATGATCACGGCTCACTGCAACCTCTGTCTGCTGGGCTTAAGCAATCCTCCACTTCAACCTCCCTAGTAGCTGGGACTACAGGTACGCACCACCACACCTGGCTAACTTTTGTATTTTTTGTAGAGACAGGGTTTCACCATGTTGTCTGGGCTGATCTCAAAATCCTGGCCTCAAGCGATCCTCCCATCTCAGCCTCCCAAAGTGCCGGCCAGAGATTCCTTCCTGACTGCTCTCACCCTCACCCTGCAGAGCCAACGGCTGTGCTCAGGAGAGCCCCAAATCATGTGCTGTAGGGGAAGCATCGCATGTCATTCTTGTCCTCCCAGAGAACCCCATCTGATGGGGAAAGGACCCTGTAATTCATTTCCTGGGGCTGTCACAAATTGCCACTAACTGAGTGGCTGCATTCTCTCACCATCTTGCAAGGTAGAGCAATGCTGTCTCTGAAAGCTCTAGAGAAGGATCCTTTTTTTTTTTTTTTTTTTGAGACAGAGTCTCGCTCTGTCACCCAGGCTGGAGTACAGTGGCTTACTGCACCCTCAACCTCCTGGGCTTAAGCAATCCACCTGCCTCAACCTCCCTAGTAGCTGGGACTACAGACATGTACCACCACACCTGCCTAAGTTTTGTATTTTCTAGTAGAGACACGGTTTCGCTGTGTTGGCCAGGCTGGTCTTGAACTCCTGACCTCAAGTGATCCTCCCGCCTCTGCCTCTCAAAGTGCTGGGGTTACAGGTGTGAGTCACTACACCCGGCTGGGAAGGATCCTTTCTAGCTTCTCGTGGCCACTGGCTGTCCTTGGCATTCCTTGGCTTGTAGACGCATCACTCGTCTCTGTATCATTTCACACAGCATCCTCCCTGCGTGTGTCCGGATCCCTACATCTTCTTCAAGGATCACCAGTCGTGTTACATTCCGTAATATGACCCTACTCCAGTATGACCTCATCTTAACTCATTACATCTGCAAACGCCCTATTTGTAAATAAGATCATATTCATAGGTACGGGGAGAAGGGTTTGGACGTGATCATATCTTTTTGTGGGGCGGGGGTACACAATTCAACTCACAACAGAGGTTATACTGTTTAAAAGTCAAGTCTGGTAGGGAGAAGAAAATATATAAGGAGACATGGATTTAAGAACATATTCGTTAGCCGGATGTGGTGGTGTGCGCCCGTAGTCCCAGCTACTAAGGAGGCTGAGGCAGGAGAATTGCTTGAACCTGGGAGGCAGAGGTTGCAAGTGACCGAAGGCCGGCACCTCTGACTCCGGCTGTGACAACGACGCAAGCACTTCCATCCGTCAGAAAAAAAAAAAAAAAAAAGAACATATCCAACGAATTAAAAAAGCAGCAGCCTGATGTGGCAGTGCACTGCAGCTATAGTCCAGCTACCTTAAAGCAGCGCCTGAGGGTAGGAGGATGCTGGAACGATAGGAGTATCAAGTCTCTCCAAGCCTGGCCAACTATAGCAAGAGCAGCAAAACCCATCCTCTAAAAAAAAAAAAAAAAAAAAAAATGCTCGGGGCGTGCGTGACTCACGCTGTAATTCGCCACTTATTGTTGAGCGCCAAGCCGAGTGACGTCACTCTGAGGTCGGAGTTTGAGACGCCAGGCTGTCAACATAGCGAACCCTTCTCTATAATCAAAAAATATAAAAATAGGCCCAGGCATGCCGGGGCGTACGGCCTGTAGTCCCCAGGCACTCAGTGAGGCTTGCCCAGGCAGAAATCGCCTGAAAACCCCAGAAGGCGTGGAAGTTTTGCATCGCAGGTCCCAAAGATCATGCCACTCACCAGCCGTGGGCAACAAGAAGAATGACTGTCAAACACGGGAAAAAACAAAAAAAAAAAACGAAGTTTTTATTCCAAAGATAGACGCCTAGGAGTGAGCATTACCC